GAACTAAAATTCTTAGAATATTTTTGACATTCACATCTAAACACCAACGAGTAGAAATAACAACAACTCCATGGAACAGCCGACGTACACCAGGGCCCGGTTGTTCAAAAGAGAGTTAAGTCTAAACCCAGGGTTAAATCGGCCTAACCCTGGGATAGATTTTAAGCGGAGGTTAGTTGCGTTGTTCAACGGAAGGTTAACACTAACCTCGGGTTAAACGATGGGTTAGATTTAACCCACCGTGCGAGCAGGGTTAAATTGTTAACCTCCGGTTAAATCAGGAATAAAACTTAAAATGGCGGACTTGTTGTTTTGCGATTTACGCAGAAGGCGACAACGAGAAAGGAGATTTAGAGCCGGACCTCAATGTGAAATCGACGATTTCACAGACGAAGAGCTGCGTGCTCGTTACCGCTTTCGACGAGAGTCTATTTTGTTTATTACCAATCTTGTTGCCGGTGATATCAGTCGTAACACTTGACGGAATCACGCCTGACCGCTGCTCCATCAAGTTTTAATTGCTCTCAGGTTTTACGCCAGTGGAAGTTTCCAACAAGTTATTGGCGACACCTTCGGTGTGGATAAGTCCACCGTTTCCAGAGTAATTACCGATGTGTCCCGGGCTTTAATCGTGAAACAGCCCCGCTTTATCAAGTGGCCTTCGAGGAACGACGACCGTGCCACAATTAAAAACGAACTTTACCTTCGCGGAGGATTTCCTTGTGTAATTGGATGCGTTGACGGAACCCACGTCAAATTACAAGCGCCCTCACAACACGAAAATAATTATGTCAACAGGAAAGGTTTTCATTCCATCAATGTGCAAGGTGGCTGCAACCATGTAGGTGAGTAGACTTTCTGCTTACGCAAAACGCGCAACAGTTTTACGAGAAAATTCGAACACGAACCAAAAATATATGTATATTTTGGTATCCCTAACCTCAACAAAAATGTTTAATTTGAAGGAATGTTCACCAATGTCGTTGCCCGCTGGCCGGGAAGTACTCACGATAGTCACGTGTTCCGCACAAGTAACATTTGCACTTATTTGCTAAACAACCATCGTTCCCTCGACGATGGCGTCCTTCTTGGGGACAGTGGGTACGCTTGCAGCCCATTCTTGATGACGCCATACAAAACAGCACGAAGTGCAGCGCAAGAAGCCTACAATGACGCTCACGCCAAAACAAGAGTGGTGATCGAGTAAACGTTTGGCCAATGGAAAAGGCGTTTTCATGTGTTGCATTCGGAAATAATATGGCACCCGAAAAAGTTTGCATGATTGTAGGCGCTTGTGCAGTGTTGCACAACATTGCTTTACAGCTAAACGAGCCGATGGAGGATGAGGAGGTAGACGAGCTGGCAGATGTGGATCCCTACCATGGACCTCAACAAGGTCTGTCAATAAGGGACCACATCTGTCAAACATTTTTTGGTTGAGATTTTCATATGCACATGCAAGATTGCGCTTGTGAGTCTTTGACGCCACTGTTAACTCGAAAGCTCAAGCTCTTTTGGTCACTGCGCACATTTTACTTTTGATTATTTATGTAATTTGTTGTTTTTCGTTTATTGTGTACTCTGCCAATCAGATGCAGAAGGAAACCAAAAGAATTCCAAGCGGTTGTAAAATATATAGTCTGTCTCGATCACTCATTAAGAAGTATTTAAGATGCTCAGCTATTTCAACTTTTAAAAAAGGCTCCCGTGTATCTATCTTTTTTGCTAATGTAAAACAAAGTAAATTTGAAGTGCAGCCTCTTATGATGAATACAATTCAAAGTAAAGTTAAGTATCTTGTTTGCGACAATCTAAACAAAAACAGTCTGTCTTGATTCAGCCATAGAAATACATGTATGTTCCAACTCCTCGCTTTGCATTTCCTGGGAAGCAGTGGAAGCTAGTAAAAATTGAAAAGAGCTTTTAATTTGAAAGGAAAAGAAATAAACACACTGTTTCAGGACTGATCGAGGGAAACAGTTTGCTTTCTTTCCTTGGAATTCTCACTTAGAGTAAGTTTAGACACTCCTAAAAACAAGCAATTATTTCATATTGCTCAACTTGTTTACTACTTTTGATGATTATTTGGATATATTTTTGCCCTTGCCTTGTGAAAGACCCAGTAGTAGCCATTACGCTTGGAACCCCTCTGTTGTTTTCAGTTGGTTTTCACGGGTGTGAGGAGTCTATTGTTTTCAAGTTCTATTCTGGCAGCAAAGAAAAAAGCCCTCAGAATTTTCATCATCACAAAAATGGTCGCCAAGGGATTGCAGCATGCAGTGATTAATGGGCAATATTGGGTCTTTAGATATTGCACTTCTTCTCCTTATGGAACAGTTCCAGCAAAGGCTGCTTTACATAGCAAACAAAACAATGTCTAGGCAAAGATATCGATACCAAAAAGTACTACCATTGACAGCTACCTAAACAATTATTGACTGTGATTATGCTAGGGACTGATTTTAATGGTAATTTTTTTCTTACCCCACAACTTATTGTGTAGTCTTTATCATAGCTACACAGCCTTGTCACAAAATTAATACGTGCAACACAAAATATGCCATAGCATTTTAAAACATATTGTAAAATACTGCAACATATTGTGGCTTAAGTTGATAGTTAATGCTGAAAAATGTTTCTAGACTTGATGCAAGTGACACAAGAATGTTGTATAGTGTAAATTGGTGTTTAGGAGGATAGAATTCATTTTCTTAGAGTTTAAAAACTGTTTGCTGATATTTGCCTAAAAATCCACGCAGCCTTTAAAACAATCTTTATTGGGACATCAAAGTTATTTAAATAAAGAAAACTTTACACTTTTGTTTGTCTTTCCCACAATCTTATTTCCAGAGTTAAGATGGGGTAAAATGATTGGTTGGAAAGAAATGTTGCACCAGGCAAGCAACAACTTCCTTCTGAAGAACAACAGCAGGAAGGCTTTCAAATGCTTTTTCATCGTTTAATTGGATTTTCAGTGTGCTTGGTGTTTTCTTTTATGTCAGATACATTTTGGATTATGTCGTTATATGACATGTTTATTTTTTCATTATTTACATATATTTTGTTAATTATTTCACTAGCTCAGTCATGTGACAGATGATGGCTGCATTCCAAGCCTTTTTCAGCCTAAAAAAAGTCAAGATATGGTTAAGAAAGGCGCAAGAAGGCACAATGTGTTTTGAACAAGTGCAAAGATTTGTTTTGGGATAAAGATGCTTTGGGGATAGGTACACTTTTAAGGGCTTACGGACTTAAATTTATGGAAACTTGGTAACCAGGGACTGAAGATACTTTTTGTTCCAAAAGGGAGACTTCTAATTCAAGTTTCTTTTTTTTTTTTAACTTTAAATTTTCTTGCTTGGCGATTAGAGCTTTGTATTGCTCCTCAAGAATGTCTTCTTGGGTAATCTTTCTCTTATTTTTTTTTTTGCTTTGATTTTCTGCTTTTTGAACATTAACCACTTTGACTTGAGGTCTCGGTCCATCCTGTACAGCTTCCTGCAGTTGTTCAAGCAAACTGTTGTTGACCTCCACTGTGGTTGCTACTTGTTCAGCTGCCTGAGTGGGTAGGTTTGCTTCAGGGCCTAAAAAATAAAGATTCCATCCCCAAATATTAGAAATAAAAAGTAACCTTTTGTTTCAAGTAATTTATTTTTTATCATTACAAGATTCAACATGCAGTAAGTGTTTACCTAATATTAAAGGGCCGAAAAGGTTTTTTAAAAAAGTAAAAAACCAAACATTTTCGGTACTAAGCAATCTTCAGATGACCCACGTTTACTTTTTCAAAATCTTTATAGCCTTGTAAATATTAGTCATTTTAAAATTCTAGCGAATATTATGAACATTTACCATTGAGACAGTTAAAGCAGTTTGTTCTTGCCTTTAGCATGTTTTAAAAAAATAATTCTGTTAGAGAAATTGCTGCTCTGTTTCAAGAGGGTTATTTTTCTGGGAAGCTTTGGGAGACATGAAAAATAGCAAGCTCAACAACAAATTAAAATGTCTTGGTACAAAGCTTCGGCAGGTTTCGGAATATTATGCGCTTCGTTTGTTGCGTGACATTGTGTATACACAACCAGTTATAATATAAACAATACCAGCCGCTACTGTAGCTGCTGTTCATGTAGCGTAAATTGTTTTTTTTTTTTAACATTCGAAACCGAACATGTCAAAAATTTATCTTGGTATTTGTTAACAATACTTAAACTGGATCATTCTTAAAGAAACAAGTACTCACTCTCAGGTTTAAAGTGATAAAAGGATATTTTAAAATCCTTACCTGTGGACTCGAAACCCTCGAGGCCGGTGAAAGAACGTGTTTCCTTAAAAATGTCAATAACTTTGGCTGTTAATGCCGACGGCATATTCGGAGCTTGCCCTCTACCAGTTTTCTTCTGCTCCTTTGCCATTTCACTTAATTCTTTCTTTGCCTGCGACTGCAAGTTTCGCCACTTCTCGCGAACTTCGGCTGTTGTCCGCATTGCCACACCAACAGCGTTTACAGCATCGGCGATTTTTTTCCACATTTCATTTTTTTTCTGATTGGTGACGCTGTTAGTAAACTTGCTTTGTATCAGCGAAAGGTTTTCTTAGACTTTTTCCGTCAAAACGGCAATTTCTGAAGCGCTAAAACTTTGTTTTCGAGCTTTGCGTGAGATAGCCGAGGAAGCCATTTTGCAGAGCTCGCAACTTGCTCACCAAGGCAACATTGTACGAATAGTTTATTATGGGATGCTAAACGCGGGTTAAACGGGCTTTACTCGAGGTTAGCTGACTTGTCCTCTAACCGCGCCTCGAACAACGCAATTTTAACAGCGAGTTAACAAACTCACGGTTAGGAAATTTAACCTCCGGTTAGGCCTAACCAGAGGTTAGTTTAACCTGACTTTTGAACAACCGGGCCCAGGATGACAATTAGATAAATTATCGTTAGGAATTCTTACAAATTATCTCTCCATCAGGGGCTGTAAGACCCCTGACTTTAACAATGCATTTGATCAGACTTGTAGTACTGGTAGACATAGTTTCCCTCCTCCATCGCACCCTTGAGTCTCAATTATTGACCTCTCGTTAACCAATTTGTCAAAAATCTTCGCCCGCCATCGTCTGTCTTTGTTCAACTTACCATTTTCTTTGCAATTATGTCCTGTTTTCCCTTTTGGACATAGGCAAAGGTATTTTCCGAATTCTCTGCAATTTCGTCCATTCGTACATTCCTCAAGGCAAGGGTTTCCTACAAGTAGAAACAGTCACACGACATTGTTGGATAAATAAAAGTTCTGCTGATGTTTTTAATTGCAAAGCAAAAACTTACTACATTTTTTAAACTTTTGATATGCACGAAGAAAAGAAATTATTAGACTACTTCTCATAATATTTTGAAGATCCATTCTTAGGAAATCTTTGAATAAGTTCCTACCTGTGCTTAGCACTGTACAAGTGAGGGTTTACTCTTTAGATAAGCTTCGGATTTGCATTTGTACACTGGCTAAGTGGTGACGACTTTTTCACACAATTTCGCAACATAAACGTACCGACACAATTACATGAAAAATTGACATTTACCAGAACCCAACCAAAAACCATGCATGTATATACATTGACAACAACAGTTCAAATCTCCACACTATAAGTTAAACGAACCTCGTAACAAGCATTAAAGGACTTGGCAACTTGGTTACTTAAGAGTAGTTTCCGAATAAGTGTCGAAAAACCCAAAACAACAATAATCACAGCGACCAATACGAAGGTTAACATTATCATTAGCCAATCAGAGGACGTAGTGAAAAAAAGCAGACTTCCTGAGGCGTGACAAAGTCGCAATTGTTTTAGTTTTACATCTGTTTGGTGGAAAGGATGGCACGAGTTTTCTGGTCAATCCAAGAACTGAGTTCAGTAAAATCAAACCAAACCCATATTGCTTTCAACACTCATTTGAAATCGCTCCATATAAGGTATCAGTCTGAACAAACAAACACAAGAAGTTTGTGGATTGTACACCTATTGCAGGTCAATGTTGTGAGCAAACAAAATACAATGATCATAACAGCCATAAATAATTCACTTACGATGTACTGTCATGCTGACATCCCTTGTCACAGGGCTTCCAACATCATTCTTAGCAGTACATCTGTACAGTCCTTCATCCTGACTACCACAGATGATCATTGGGAAGTTCACTGGACTGTTGTCGGCGACTTTTGTCCAAGTCATAGTTGGTGATGGATTACCTTCTGCCATACAGAACAAACTCACCATGTCACCTTTGTTTACAGTCTGCCCTCCAGAAATGTTTGTAATCGTGGGTGCATCTTTAAAAGGAACAAATCATTAAAAGGCGTTAAAAACGCAAGGATTTTTATTTCATTTCAAATTCTCATGAAACACTGTCGGATTTTGGATGTTATAATGTAGAGGTACGCCAGTTCGGATCTAAAGTTCGAAGAAATGACAATAAATGAATTCGACGTCAATGAACTTACACTGCACATCAATTGTTGCCATCTCTGTTGCATTACCACACTCATTACTGGCTTCACATTTGTATTCACCAGCTTCATTCCTACTTATATTCACAAGCTCCAGCAGATATCCACTATGAAGCTGACCATTATGTTTCATCCAAGACACAATTGATGGAGGCATTCCAGATACGCTACACATCAGAGTCACATTGTCACCTTCAGTCACTGTCATGCTGTGCATTGGTTGTATGGATGAAGGCTCTGTAAAAAAACGTTTAATCAAAGTACCCATTTGTCCGTCAACTAGCAGATGAACTAACTCTGGTAATAGAAGCGCATCGGGGCGAATTACACGCACGACTCCCCAGACAGTGTTGTTAGACAATAGGGCAAACGTAACAACCTTTCTAAAGATCCCCTGGAGGGTCTTTTATTTGGTCAGATGCCCTATGATATTTGAATCCCGTAGTAAGGGCAAATGGATTACGCGTACCTACAAAGCGATTTAACCAAAATGGGTAGTAAAACGGAGCGGCTCTCGGATCGATGCAGCGGAATTTAGTTACTTTTGCTGTTGGAAGGAGTAGGTAATATCTAAGCGCTCTCGCGGGTGGAAATTTGAGGGAGATCTGTCGACTTTTGTGGAGTTTATCGGCCTTCGAGTGACGGCGGTTGGTGTTCGGAAACGGTTAAAGTTTCCAGCCTTGAAATTTTTCAATCTCAGTTGGCCGGTAGCACCACACGCGTTACAAAGAAAGTCGCAAAAACAGCGTTAAAAGTACCGCAAACGACAAAGCAGCTACGGAGAAAAGGTAAGGAGACTTCTTACGATATATTCCTCGTTTTTATCGTCCTCTGCAATTTCTTCTCCATTTTTTTTATAATTTTTTCTATTACTCAGTTGACTGGTGACACCGGACGCGTTAGAAAGTCGCCAAAACAGCGTTAAAACGACCGTATGTTTTATTCCTCGCTTTGATAATTCTTTTAGATTTTTTCTTAATTTTTTTTAAAGTTTTTCTTTTTTAACGGCCGACACATGTTTAAAATTGGACCTTAATATGTTAGTTATTGCCGTTAATGAACTTTAGATCCCAAAATCAAACAAGATACGCTTGGGCCGCCTGTGCTATTACCAACATCTTCAAAACCCCTTTTCTCACTCTGCCTTTCGCATGTCTTGAGTCTACATATAAAATTATTTTTTCCAATATAATATGCCAAACAGCTAAGCCAATGATGTAAATTGGTAAATGAATGCAAGAAAACAGCTTTACAGTTAAGCTTACCATTCACCGTGACCATAAGGGATGAACTGAATTTTGATCCTAGAGAGTTGTTGGCCACACATTTGTACATGAACACTCCGCCCATTGACACGTTTCTTTTCCACATTCCTGAGAGATTTGCGTTTGAGATAGCAGTGTCATTCTCGAACAGCTGGTAAGATGTCACCGATGGATTAGAATCAGCTGAGCAGTTAAAGCTAATCATGTCACCCCTGCATGCTTTGTTACCCAGGGCAGATGATGGAAATTGCACATTCTCTGGTTTGTCTAAGAGAATTACAAACAAGTGGTGTAAAATATTGTAATTATAACATAACCAAAGTAAAGCGCGCACTCTGATTGGTCAGTTTAGCCTCTCCCATTTGCCCATGGATGTACGCTGCTGACGTGAACAAATGCAAAGACTATTTTTCCGCGCGCGCTTGTTTTTTCTGGTCACGTAAGATTTGTTAAATAAAAGGGAACTCTTTGGCTACAATGTATCAATGTTATGTTATAAAACAAATGGTAAACACCACAGCGCACACTATTGAGTTATGGATGCACTTGGGAGGTTTGCTAAGCACTCAAGAAGCTAGAGTCGCTCTTGGCTATCGCCTCGCGTACAAGCTTTGTTATCCATGGCAAATGATGTCAATTGCACGTTCTCTGGTTTGTCTGAGAGAATTATGAACAAACTGTCTCAAATATTGTAGATGGTAGAAAGCTCACTGCAATCATTTTGTTCCTCAGGTTATACAAATTTTCGCATGGAAGTTTAAAGTTATGTATGATAAAAAATACTAACTCTAAGCTGGACATTGTTTAAACCAACACCTACGTTTTCTCGTGGTCGAGGCCTAAACTATGTCTTCTGGAAGGAATACACGATCTTTTGAGTGATTTGCACGCACAGCTTAAAAGTTTTAACAAACATGCCACTTGATTCATCAGGAAAGACAGGAATTGTCATTTTCGTCTCGAAACTGCCCTTGACATCCTGTGAATGATGGTGCATGTAGAAAATACTGAGACGCTAAAAGACCCAGCTACATAATATTCCAGACCAATTAAGACTTGCTGCATGATTTTCAGTGCCGTATGCATGGCAGACCTGTATGTTTGATATTTGAGATCGTACTCTAAACTTCAAATGAGGTCTGCATATGAGGCCTCTCTGAAGTAAAAGCAAATTCGAAAATCTTCTAAATTCCTGCAAAAGGTTAATTATATCAAAAAGTTGCCGATTTTGTTTCATGATTAGAGATGAAGTCTATTGGCGTGCTACCTTATTGTATGAAAAACGTAATCCGTACATTTTAAATTGGCTGGTAATAGAAGTGCTCCATAAACAGCGTCTAAACCAACCTCCGAGCAGGTCTAAGTCGTTATTGTTCTTTAAGCAGTGGTTAAACATGGTTTAAACACGATTATTGACAATCAGTGTTTAAATAATCGGTTTCCACAGTTTAAACATGGGTTAGACGGTGACTTTCATAAACGCTGGTTAAAATTCCTTCAAATGATCGGCCCCGAGTATTTAAAAATGTAGTAGGTCATTTCATGTACATAAGTCGGTGGAAAAATTAAACAAAAACGAACGGATGATTTAATCAAGCAGTAGGCCAAGACCGAGCCTTATATGATAAATATCATAAAGATGAGGTCAATACTTTTGCTCTGATCCTTTGTTTTTTCATTGTATTGCTAATACATGAACCTGTTTCACATTACCTTTACCTTCATTCCAATATCTACAAATTGTGTACGTGTAAATCGTAAGTGTAATAAAAGTTACCTTCAGTGAATGGACTGACACGAACTTTAGAAAAGATACTGATAATAATTATATACTTACAATGCACATCAATGCTTGTCACATCTCTTGCATTGCCACAATCATTACTGGCTTCACATTTTGTATTAGCCAGCTTCCCTCTTGCTGATGTTTTCAACCCACAACTTGTATCCAATAACACGTTCATTATTAGGTTTCATCCAAGACACCGTTGGTGGGGGCACTCCAGATGCATTACACATAAGAGTCACATTGTCACCTTCAGTAGCATTCTGATGTTGTGTTATTTGGATAATTGAAGAAGGAACTGTAAAATGAAGAGCAAAAATGATGAAAGGTTTAAATACACATAGCAGCTGGCAACTGGCTTGAAGCCAAATGTCATTCTAAACTTCATTCTGAGCGAACATTTCCCATATTGCCGTTGAGTCTCAACGTTCAGCTCTTAATACTAAGTGTGGAGGTTTTTGCAACTGAGTGTACAAAAAAGTACACTCATGAAAGTGCCGTCTTTGCATGCATAGTTTATCAAAAATTAGGCAATTTTGCTAGCCATTCACAGTGACTGTAACACTCATGCTGTATCCTGATCCTAGAAAGTTGTTAGCCACACATTTGTAGACAAACACTCCTTCATTTACCAAAGTCTTGCTCCACATTCCTGCGGCACTTGTGTTGAAAATGGCAGTTTCGTTCTCAAACAGTTGGTATGATGTCACTGCTGGATTAGCATCAGCTGAGCAGTTAAAGCTGATGACTTTTCCCTCACACGCTGTGTTATTCATGGCTGAACTATTTAACTGGACATTCTCTGGTTTGACTAAAGAAGAAAGAAACAGTTAATGAATACATGTGGCATGCAAGAAGCCCTCCCATTGACCTGGCTGAGGAAAGCTTACACTTCTGTGTCACTGACGTTTCCCTCAGCACTGTTCAAGTCTTTTACGCTAAATATTTATGTCATGGCCACTTATACCTGAGGCAAATAAGACTTTGAGCCAAATTAAGAGGTACCAAGCCCTTTTGCCATTAGCTTGGCTTTAATACAGCTTATGGAGGCTTTTTGAGCCTCAAAGTGGCTTTTCATTCTACCCAATTATTCTTGAAAACTTGCAACATTTTCTCACCAATGGTATCAGAGCAACGTTACAGCCTCTTAGGCAACCCTTCATTTCAGCTTACTGCGCCTACACCTCAAATATGAGTTCCATTTTTCATTGTTTGATTGAAATCAGCAAATTACTATTCACCCATTTTTAAGAAATCGAATGTAAAGTTTCAGTGATGCTTCTGAGTCACACGGTAAGCTTCACAGTAAACAGGTCTCTCTACAAAAAAAGTGCATTAGAAGTAGAGCAAATTGATATACTGGGACAAAGACATACAAGAAGCAACAAGTAACACGGGACAACTTTTACATGTACACCTACTTACACTGCACATAAATTCTTGTCATCTTTGTTGCATTGCCACACTCATTACTGGTTTCACATTTGTATTTACCAGCTTGACTCCTCCTAACATTTTTAACCCCCAAACTGTATCCATTATCACGTTCACCGTTAGGTTTCATCCAAGACACCGTTGGTGGGGGAACTCCAGATACAATACACATAAGAGTCACATTTTCACCTTCAGTAGCATTCTGATATTGTGTTATTTGAATAATTGAAGAAGGAACTGTAAAATGAAGAGCGAAAATGATGAAAGGTTTAAATACATATAGCAGCTGGTCACTGGCCTTTAGCCAAACATCATTCTGAGCATCATTCTAAGCGAACATTTCCCATATGGCCATCGAGTCTCAACGTCAGCTCTTAAGTGTCAAAGTTCTTGTAATTGACTGAGTGTTCGTTAAAGTGAACTCATGAAAATGCCGTGTTTGCATGTATAGTTGATCAGAAATTTGGTTATTTTATTTACCATTTATAGTAACAGCAACATTCATGCTGTAATCTGATCCTAGAGAGTTGTTAGCCACACATTTGTAGACAAACACTCCTTCATTTTCCAAAGTCTTGCTCCACATTCCTGCGGTACTTGTGTTTAAAATTGCAGTTCCGTTCTCAAACAGCTGGTATGAGGTCACTTCTGGATTAGCATCAGCTGAGCAGTTAAAGCTGATGTCTTTTCCCTTACACGCTTTGTAGTTTATGGCAGAACTCGTTAACCGGACATTATCTGGTTTGTCTGAGCAAGAAAGAGACAATTCATAAGTTTAAGTTCTTTGGCCATTGTAAGTTACATGTAGATATTTACAGTAGCCAAGGGAGTCACCTTCTTTATCCCTGGCTGATGGAATGCTTACATTTGTACATCCCTGATGTTTCTCTCAACACTGTTCCATTTCTCCTATGTTAAACCTTAATTTCAATTTATGAGTACAAGTATTTAGGGCAAAGTAATCTTTGAGCCAGTTTAAGAGACGCTTAGGGTTCTTATCATTTGCTTAACTTTCAGGTTTTTGGTTCTCAAATGGCTTTTCCGTCTGCCCAGTTATTCCTGATTGTGATTTTGTTTTTGTTTATGTAACCAAAGTAACGTTAAAGCCTTCGGAAAACACTTAATTTTAGCTTACTGTGATTACAACTCAAGTATGACTTCCTTTTTTCATTGATTAATTACAATAGCCAAATTAACATTCACCCACTTTTAAGAAATTTCTCAGAGATGCATTTGAGTCTTGCACATACACAAGTCTGCCCAATAATAAAGTGACACTTAAGGCAAGTGGTTATACTAAGACACAGAAATACAATAAAAAATAAGTAAAGGATAACTTTACTTACACTGCACATTAATGGTTGCTGCCTCTGTTGCATTTCCACAGTCATTACTATAGCTTCACATTTATATTCACCAGTTTGACTCCTGCTAATGTTTGTAACTACCAACACTTTTCCAGGAGTACTATGACCATAAGGCACCATCCATGACACCATTGTTGAAGGGATTCCAGATACATTACATGTCAGAGTCAAATTGTTGCCTTCAGTTACATTTTGATATACTATTTCTTGTATGAATGACCGAACTAAAATATGAAATACAAACAATATTATTTCAGCCTCTTACAGTGTACTCCTTTAGTTGCAGTATTCAACCACTATAAATCATATACTGTAGTTTGGAGGGGCAATGTCTCAATTCAAAATCTTATGAAATATTGCCCATAATACAAACTGTGACTTCTCACACCAATTTCATGTAAAACTCTTGTGAGTTCAACAAACTGATTGAAGGATGCGTTTGCATATTCAATTAACTAATTTGTGTTCAGCTTTAGGACATATGATAAGAAGATGAAAACAATGCAGAGACACCGTTATATTATTAATATTAACATCCTTTGTGTACTAGAACATGCACACTTGTTTACTTCGTCAGCTGAACAAAGGAAAGAGCATGGAATGACATGCTATAATTAACAATTGCTTCATACATCAGCGTGCTTTCATCAAGAACTGAAGTATGTGGAAAGTTTGGAGAGCATGAAAGATGCCTAAGAGTTGCTCTGGGCTGCTCTTCAAGCAACTGTAGCGTCTTGAGTGCTCTCCAAACTTCCCAAGTGCTTCAATCCTGGAAGAATGCGCAGCTAACGCAATGAACAAATTGTTTTATAACATTTTCAACACATTAGTTTATGTATAAAGAGCAGACACTCCCTCTC